ATAAAAACCATCTTTATTTGATAAACTATTGCCTTGTGATTGACCCCAGTGTCGCATAGCTAACGGAATTGCTGCGCATGAAATAACCATTGAGGACGCAAGATCGACGGACTGATCTGCGTCAGCGTTACGAACTCTGACCAAATTTACACACCTCTTTTGAGCAGAAACCACTCCAATTGTTACACGGCGTGAGACAGATCGAAGTGACTGACTCGCCGTGATTTCACCATAACATTTTTGATGGTAACTGTGAGATAGAACACTACCAACGACACTCGTTACCCCCATTTTTATGCAACAGACATATATGCATTTATCACACACAGTAGCATAGAAGCATAATTGCACACGATAGTTGTTACCCCCTCCCCCCTGATTTACGATTTTATTTTATTTTCATTGTTGTTAATTTTTTTTTAGGTAGTTAATAATGGGAATATCCGGAGTAATAAGGGACATCGTCTTAGGCGCTTCAGATGAGTTGGAAAAATATGGACCCAGGAGAACGGACCAAGATGTATTCAAGACCTTGAAGAAAGCGGCGACGAGAAGAATATGGAAGAAAGCCCAACTGAGTCCAGGGGAGCGATTGTACGATGCCTATCTGGGATTAGAGGAGTTGGTAATATCTCTTTGTGAGATTATTGGTAAGATGTCGGTAGATACCCCAACTGGAAAAGCTTCTATACCAGGGCCATTGGGGAAAGCAACGCGAAGATGGAACAGCATCAAGCGCTGAATTGGTGGTAGTACAAAAGATCGGCGAGACCCGTTCATTTATAAAAACGATAATCAAAAAAAAAAGGTTAAGTTTGGAATTGCAGAGAAACCAATAACCCGACCCACGATCATAGAACACCATAACAACATAGTGGAAGAATAGAACACCTACCTGTCGCCCGCGATGACCATTCCGCAAGAGGTTCAAAGGCTGGGAGAGTACCCCTTATGTTCTGAATCTTCGCGACCATGACATAAGGAAAGAAAGGACGATCAGGAAGAAATTACGCCCGGAAGCTTGCCAACCGCGTATGAAGAGGGAGGCCTTCGAGAAGGCAAAGGTAGCCCTGGTGAAGCACTGAGAAATATCAGTGTCGGGATACCAAGTGACCTCGAGGAGATATCAACATGTGCAAACAATAGGGAAGGGCCTGGAACGGGAGGAAAAAAGAGCGACGAAAGCGAGTTAGTGTCTGAACCAGCTGCATCTGAAGAAACAATCAAGCTGAGTACAACGCTTACCCCTTACGAGACGTCAGCCCCGAGGAAAGACAATGCCGGAACTCTAAGCAATGCCGGGAAAGCTCTAGAGCTCGAGAATAGCGAAGGAGGCTTCGATGCAGAGGGGGAGAAGGGAAATAAAAATACATTAATACCCGAACTACGCACGTGTGATGAAATAACAGGGAATGGTGCACCCACCTCTGAGGTGCCGGTCCCAAGGAGCGATGATACTGGGATGCCGAGTGCCCAAGAAATCTCGGCAAGTGCGAGGAGCAACGGAAGTTTCGAAGTGGAAGAAAAGAGAGGCGAGAACAAATTAGCGCCTAAACCAGCTACGGACGAAACTATTGAACTGACTGATACACTTACCTGCTGCGAAACGCTAGCCATGAGGAATAACGATACCGGAATATCAAGTGCCTGCGGACAAATTTTAACAACCAGAAATGACGAAAGGAGTCTCGAAGCTGAAGAAACCCCCGATGAGACCCTAGAAAGGGGAACGCGAGAAAAATTAAAAAAGGGTACGCTTACGAGACTAAGTGAGAAGGAAACAAAACTTACCTATAAGAGAACTCTGGTGGCGAACAGTGAAGACGTCGAAGCGCTGAGCGATAGGGTGAGAGTGAAGGAACCCGAAAGCAGCGAGAGAGACGTCAACGCGGTAGAAGTTGGGAAGGAACCAGGAAAGGATGGTAAGTTAGTGACTCTAGAACAAGTAAAAAAATGCCATTATGGGAGGAAGAGGGACGATCAACGAGAAGATGAACCACGAAGTACCTGGTATGAAACCGCGCTAGCCTCAAAGGAACATGACGACGAGATGTGAAAATCGCAGGGAGACCTGGTTATAACTGAGATTCGTCTCGAGAGGAGCCAATGCGGTAAGAGGACAGAATCAATGGAGAGAGGCGTGAGGTCAGAAACGTCTGAAAGTAGGAAATCGAATCGAGTCGATGGAGAACCTACCATAGGAATACCAGACAAGTGCGAGAATAGGTTGGACGGTTGCGATAAAATTGTACCCGTTGATACAATTGAACTTATTAAAAAGAAAGAAAAGTTGGGAGTCGATAATGGAGCATGGAAAAATCAATAATATGATCCAACCTATTTCGAGGGAGCCAGACGGGTACTGTAACGATGACAATGATACCATATTCGCAAAATGAGATGTCCATTCATCAGAGAGGAACGGAGTAATGTTGATACCAACCAGTGACATCACGATTGCAAGTTGTGATGACCTGGGAGGACGTAGCAAAAAGGAAAACAGAGAATTAGTAATTAATGGCACGAGGTATTAGAAAACAGACGGACTTACCGATGGAAGATCTGATGCGAGTGGAGGTGGATTGGGATGTCACGAGGATGAAGGGACAATAACCGATGACCCCCCTGATGAGGATAAAACAGAAGATGAAATGAAGGGAGGGACGGTGGTGATTAATGCGAGGAAATTATGGGCACCAGGTACGAAAAATGGTGGCGACGGACGAACATGCTCAAGGAGTTAAGGATAGCATACGTAGACGTCATTGCAAAACTAATACACTGCACAATGATAATCATTGTCATAACGGTTCTGATAACCAATGGAACTGTCTTGAAATTTGAGTGTGCAGGAATAATGCGACGTATTGGTAGCATTAGCAGGAAGGCCGATTGGTGCACAGAAGGATGGAGGGAAAGAGAGCACAAAAAAAGAACACAATGAAGGTTACAACCGACAAAGATACATACCAACCACATCATTATTAAAGCAAGCGTGAAAAAGGGATGGTGGTGTGAGCAAAAAGTAAAAATCGTGATACGTGCCAAGGGCGATGATTGCTCGTAGTACTTGCAAGCAAGGAGGGGAAGGAAAATTGTAAAAAAAAAAAAAAAAAAAAATGGAACGGATGGATGAGAAAGTGGGATAAAAAGGGAAATAAGATAGTGTTAGTTTAAGTATAGTTTAGAATTTATTTAACGATGACATTAGATTAGCTTACTGTGTTTAGTTTTGACTTTTAATTTCTACTTTGATCAATCGATTATCAATTATTCCCCTTTATCTTTACCCGATTGATTAGTACTTTTATTCTTCTATTTTTACTTTATTTTGAAAGAAGCGAAAAAAAAAAAAATCGGAGAAAATTTTTGAGCAAAAAAAGGAATATTTTATTTTTATTTTTATTATTATTATTATTAGTATAGTGGTTATTATTTTTGAAATTAAACAAATAGTTGAAAATATCTATTATCTTTTTGATTTTTTTTATTTATTTTCTTGTGGTTTATGTGAATAAATAATATTGGATCCAGACATAGCTATAGATGACCTTGGTTTCTAGAGATAGGAATCCATAGCATATGCCGGTTAAGGGCTGGTTAGCCATAGCACCCTAGGTAATATCACCTTTGGAGCAGATTGGTGTTTGAGGCTATAGTATCCAAATTGTATAATTTATATAAACAATTTTTGAACAACTATTGAATAGGTTTTATTGTTATTTTACTTTTATTTTTATTTCTTTATTAATATTATGCCTTATAATTACATGAATAATTTCTTATTTTTACATTATTTTTGAAATATTGGGAAAAGGAAGGTATCCTTTAGCTACTGTATGGATTACAGTACCCAGGCTATACGATGTGGACGTAGATACCCTGATTGCCCAGTCCTCAACTTGCCCAAACACAAGCATCATTGAACCCTTGAATAGAAGAAGGAATCTAAAAAGCACTAAGAGAAACAAGCGAGAAATGCAGTGTAATGGAAGTGGCCCACAGAGCAACTCCATATCCATTACAGTCAGTTCACAAAGCATACTTAGCGACTACTGCATTTCCCGTTATGAATCCACAAATGATAAAAGGGAAAAAAACTTGAAACCAGTAGGGAGAAAAGCAAACCTCTAATTAAGCTCAAAAGTGGAAAAGGACCTATCAAAAGGAGCTGGAGCTGGAGTTCCTAATAGTTGGAGCAGTCCTTCTAATCAAGCCACCCTATTTTTCAAGTTTAAATTTTCCAACTCCAACTCCCTATTACGACAGTGAAAGGAGCGAGCGTCGGAAAGTGTTTCCAAGTCTGCTTTTAACTTGGTGATTTCTTCTTCCAAGGTTTTGGACCTTTCTTCACAATGTGCCAAACGTTCCAAAATTTTAACTCTTTCCTGAAATATTATTATGGTTTCCCAGGAAGGGTCTTTGCGACCGGAGCGAGTGAGGCGAATAGCTTTGGAGATGCGGTTTTCCCTAGGTATAATTTCAACAATGAAAAGGATGAAAAAGTTGGAAGGATTAGTGTTAAAACTATTGGTTTAAATAGCAATAATTCTTATTGTAGATAATACAAAAGTAGTATTTGGCAAATAAGTCTTGAATATAGTATGGCAAGCACGGGAATACTGATCAATGAGGATATAGCGAATCAGCGTGGGAATACTTGCTAAGTCTTGCAAATACTTGAGTACTCTTACCAACTTAGGAAAATTGATTGTTAAAAGGAGGTGACTATGGAATTTCCAAATCAGGATAAAGTTAAGGATCACTCGTGATACTCGTGATTTAAGGAGGGGAAAATGTTGTAGGGAAAAATGATGGGTAGATGATAGGAAATTATAAGGGTAAGTATATCAGGTATAAACGGTATATCAGGT